ATTGAGTCGTGCTTAGTGGTTGATTCTACTAATACCTGGATTGTAAATTCTAGAGCCACTAATCATGTTTGCAAATCTTTGCAGGAATTCCAGGAAACCAAGCATCTCAGTGAAGGGAAGTACACTCTTAGGGTTGGCACATGAGCAGTGGTATCTGCCAAAGCTGTTGGCACTTTTACTTTATGCTTTGAGAATCGTAGGCATTTGATATTAGATGACTGTTATTAAGTTCTCGAACTTACACGGAACTTGGTTTTGTTGCACTTTTATATCATGTTGGTTATTCGGTATTTTTTACCCATCTACGATGGTTATTAAGTTGAATAATTCTGTTATATGTTCAGGTCGTATGGTTAATAGTCTTTATATCTTAAGTCCTTTGATTGTCTCGATACATAATACTACTACTGTTAAGAAAAGAAAGAGGTCGTCTAGCACTAATGAAACTCTTTTATAGCATCTTAGATTAGGTCATATCAATCTAAATACGATTCAAAAATTGGTAAAGGATGGTCCTTCAAATGAGTTAGAGGTGGAATCTATACCAACTTGTGAATCTTGTATAGAAGGAAAGATGACCAAGAGGCCCTTTAAGGCTAAGGGACTAAAAGCTAAAGATGTTTTGAAATTAGTACATTTTGATATTTGTGGACCTATTAGTACTCGGGCTAGAGGAGGATACGAGTTCATCACCTTCACAAATGATTACTCTAGATTTGGATACATATACCTTATGTCTCACAAATCCGAAGCTTTGGAGAAATTCAAGGAGTTTCGGACGGAAGTTGAGAAACAATTAGGTAAGAGTATCAAGGCCCTTCGATCCGATTGAGGTGGCGAGTATCTATCCCAAGAGTTTAAGGTCTATTTATCGGATAATGAGATATTATCCCAATTGAGTACACCAAGAACTCCCCAACAGAATGGTGTCTCGGAAAGAAGAAATCGAACTCTTTTAGATATGGTAAGATCAATGATCAGTTATTCCTCATTGCCTATATCCTTTTGGGAATATGCACTACAAACAGCCATTTATATCTTGAATTTGGTACCATCTAAGTCAGTTCCCAAGATACCTCTTGAATTGTGGAATGGGCGCAAGCCCAATTTACACCACATTTGGATCTGGAGATGTCCAGCACATGTACTAAAGGGAAAGACAGATAAGATGGAATCAATATCAGATGCTTACTTCTTTGTAGGATATCCAAAAGGAACGAGAGGTTACTACTTCTATAATCCTCTTGATAAGAAGGTATTTGTTAGCACAAATGCAACCTTTTTAAAGGATAATTATATAGAAGAACACAAGTCTACTACTAAGATTCTATTGGAAGAGATGTTAGAACATGGTTCAAACAACTCAGTTTCAGATTTTCGCGTAGAATCTAATAGTGATGACTTGGAACCTCTTACTGAACCAACGGTTGCTGATGAAGCAAGTGATGCCCACAAGGCCTCATAGGCAAATAGAACCAAAGGTAGTAGAGAAAGAGGCACCCATTGTTGTATCTCCTCGTGTCCCTTTAAATGGGGATAATAAGGATCTTGTTCCTAACCAAGGACAGGATCAAGTAGTGGGAACAGAGGAATGACCTTTGGTCAGACTGGACAATCAGGCACCTTCAACCATTACTCGTAGTGGGAGGGTTGTGAGACCAACCTTCTAGGTACTTGCTCTATGGAGAATCCTATCAGGCGATCTCTACTGAGCAAGAAGAAGATCTCACTTCGTTTAAGGAAGCAATGGAGGAAGTAGACTTTGAATCATGAAAATTAGCCATGAACTCAGAAATGGAATCTATGTATTCCAACAAGGTTTGGGATCTTGTAGATGCACCTAATGGGGTAAAGCCTATAGGATGCAAGTGGGTCTATAAAGGGAAAAGAGGTATAGATGGGAAGGTTGAAACCTTCAAAGCAAGGCTAGTGGCCAAGGGTTTTACCCAAAGAGAATGCATCGACTATGAAGAAATCTTCTCACCAGTTGCCATGCTTAAATCTATTCGAGTCCTTTTATCCATTGCCACTCATTATGATTATGAGGTTTGACAAGTGGATGTTAAGACAGTATTTTTAAATGAACGTCTTGAGGAGACCATTTACATGATGCAACTTGATGGTTTTGTGAAAGAAGGCAATGAAAGGAAAGTTTGCAAGTTGCAGAGGTCCATTTATGGACTCAAGCAAGTGTCCAGATCTTAGAATGTAAGATTTGATCAAACCATCAAGACCTATGATTTTTAGCAAAATCTGGATGAACCTTGTGTGTACAAGCGAATGCAAGGGAAGAAAGTAGTTTTTCTGATTCTTTATGTAGATGACATTCTACTCATTGGCGATGATGTAGGGACATTGTCATCTGTAAAGAAATGGTTGTCATAGCAGTTTGATATGAAGGACGTGAGAAAAGCTAGTTATGTTTTTGGAATCCGTATCTTGCGAGATAGGAAAAACATAAAGATTGCATTATCCCAAGTTTCATATATTGACAAAATATTGTTTAGATTTGCAATGCAGAATTCCAAAAAGGGACAACTTCCTTTTAGACATGGAATTCATCTATCTAAATAGCACTGTCCCAAGAATGCAATGGAGATAGATTACATGAGAAATGTTCCTTATGCTTCGGCTGTGGGAAGTCTCATGTATGCTATGCTTTGCACTAGACCGGATATTTGTTATGATGTGTGCATTGTTAGTCATTATCAGTCTAATCCAAGACTAGAACATTGGGTAGCGGTGAAGCATATACCCAAGTATCTTCAGAGAATGAGAGATTATATGCTTGTCTATTCAGGACATGATTTGAATCCTATTAGATATACTAATTTCGATTTTCAATTCGATCGTGACTCTAGGAAGTCTACATCGGGATCAGTATTTACACTGAGAGGTGGAGCTGTGGTATGGAGGAATATCAAGCAATCTTGTATTGCTGATTCCACCATGAAAGCAGAATATGGAGCGGCTTGTGAAGCTGCTAAAGAAGCTGTATGGTTCAAGAAGTTTCTTTTGAACCTTGACGTGGTACCTTTAGCAATGGAGCCCATAACGCTTTATTGTGATAATAGTGGGGCGGTTGCCAATGCTAAAAAACCTAGGAATCATCAGCGTGGCAAACACATCGAGAGAAAATATCACATTGTTAGAGAGATTGTTCATCGAGGAGACGTGACGATTAGTAAGATTACATCAACAGATAATCTTGGGGATCCGTTCACTAAGACCTTATTAGCTAAGGCTTTTGATGGACATCTTAAGGGGATGTGTATTCTTGATAAGTCACACACACTCTAAGAAGGGCAAGTGGGAGATTGTTAGCTTGATGCCCATTCTTCGAGTAGTGTTCTGTAAAATCACATTATGAATTGGCGTTCGTTTATTTGCGTGTTATAATTTGAAGTGATTATCTAAGGTTTCATGATCATATAGGATGTCACAAATTGTATACTCGATGGATCGGGTATAATAAGACACAATTCGTGATGTGATCAAAATTATGTCGTTCACAATCGGTTCATAAAGTTGGACGCTTTATGTTGATAAGATTGTATTGTTCTTATTAATATTTGTCTAGATCTTGAAATAGGAACAATAATGTGTTTCGATGCACATTAAACGAGACCGCATAGATAATTCATTTGTGACCGTTCAAAATGAGACTCTACTTTATTATTAAACAAGTCACCTAAATCCTAAGTGCGTAATGTACCTTTGATTGCTAGTTCAAGTTCTTTAAGGTACCAATGAGTGAAATCTTAAATAGAAGATTGATCTTAGTACTTTGGGAATCGGGCCAAAATAATTAGAGATCATATACTTACAATAGTGGAATCCATTAATCATTGATATGAGACGATCGTCACTATAAGATATTTTTCTAGACAAATTGAATCTGAGCTCAGTAGGTCGACAATCAGATTGTTGGACTTTACATTGTGACTTGATTACAACGAATTTGCCGTATGAAAATGGGACTTTGAGGGTAATACATGTTGAAGGGCAAAACAGTTATTTTGCTAGTTTCAACATATTGGTGGTCAAATGGGATTGACTTATGGAACGATAATCAGAGGATATTGTTATTAGATCATACTTTGCTTCTATAACTATCACTCGACTTGAAAGTGCAATCTCGATTTTTTGGTAGAATAAGTCGGGATTAATAGATGTATCTCAATTGGTTAAGAGTTGATCCAATTGGAAACATCCATTGGAGTTTAGGTCATGTGAATCTGGTTAGGTCTCTCTCTTGGCTCCAATAAAAGGTGTGTGACTTAATTGGTCTATTACAATAAAGTCTAAGGAAAGTTGTGCAATTTCCAAATCCTGATAGGGCATTATAAATATGCACTGTATTGACATATTTTATATGAGAATTAGGGTTAGCCACTTTTCACTTTCTTAAAAAGGAAATACACCAAGTAGAGAACAAGGGAAAAGATTTAAGGAATAAAGCAATTGGTTAGACCATTAAAAGCTCCTTCAAAGGTTATCATCTCCCCTTGTTATGTGTGAGGATTTTTATAATCCAGTAATCTCAAGGTTACTAAAATTCTTATTTACATGATTTTAATTTTCAAAAGAAAATTAATTTCCTATTGTGATGATTAAAATCCATTAACCAACACTTACAACTTTTCATCCACACGTTTATCAAATTTTATCAAAATTTACTAAATCTGTGATTTTAATCCCCATCAAACAAGGACTTAATTTCATAATGCATTTCAAAAATAACTTGAAATGTCATTTTTTTTAAGGAACTCTTAGGTTACTAATGACGTGTACGGTGTAACTTAAATATTTGATTTTAAGGAGCTCCTAGGTTACTAATTTTACATGATCCCAATTCTTAATACTATACGAAAATAATAAATGTGTTTAAGAATGACCTTTTTATGTGATTGTCTATAGATTGATCAACAACATACGCAAAAAAATGCAAAAAGAGGAAAAACGTGAAAAAAAAAATAATAATATATATGAAGTTCTTAAACAAGGTGAGGTTAATTTATTCCACTAAGTGCAACACAACATATATTATCATTTTTTGCCATACAAAAAGGATAATATCATTCCATTGCCATTGTGCTTTTATTATCCGACGCAGATTAACCTCTCTAGGGTTTTTCTTAACACGCAGACAGACGCACGCACACAAGTATGTATACGTGTCTATATATGTATAAAACAGTGGCCATCCTCCGGAGAATGTATAAAGTTTAGAACCCTTGTACTGGATTTTCATCATCTCCTTAAACACAGACTGCTTCAGAGCAGAAGCTTTGTTGAACTTCAAGGGCCAGTTCCTCCACACTCACTTGACATTCAAGTCCAATCTGTAATTAGAAATGCAATTGAACAACTGACTCAAATTATGATCATGAAATCTAATATAAGTTTGTGGCGAATGCTTTCATATATAACTGTCGTGGCTCATGCGTGATATCATAATGTGTTGTGATATTCTTTTAAGTGTTAATTATTAAGCACAAGAGAAAGAATTAATGTTTATTCATCCGAAAGCGGATTTGTAATAGAGATATTAAGCAGGAATCTTTATGAAATTTTCCACCATTCTTGATTTTAATAACATGGTTAGAGAATATAGGGTAAGATAAGGGAGAGAAATTGTTTCATGCAAGAATACACCTCTATTCTTGAATCATACTTTAGTTAAACCTTAAATCTCCTATATATTTAGTGCATCAAAATGTATAAAATAAAACCACAAGAGGAAAATTAATTAATTAATTATATTTTATCTTTAGAAATATCCTGACGCGCATGTTAAGAACAAACATATTGTGATCTTTGAAAGGGGTGCAAAAAATATATCCGATCTAAAGATGGGGAGGACAATGTCAAACCCTAAAAAACCTTAATGCAAAATGCATAGACGCAAACCAAAACTCAAATTTATAGTGGTTCACTCTTCATGTGAATGCTACGTCTACCCATGCTACAAAATTTCATTGAAATGAGAATAAGCAATTTTTCGTGTCACCTAAAAAAGCTCCACATAGTCCAACAATTAATGGTTAACATGTTGAATTTCATAAATTGGTGAGACTTTAATCATTTAAGTTTTTGAAAGACCTCATCTAAAAAATTAAGCTTCATTCAACTATCAATTCCTAATTGCATACAATCATAAATGACTATCTAATTAAAACAAATTATGAATTTCTACCAGGGCAAATGAGAATTCTGAAATTTGATTGAAGAAATTAACGTTATTTTTCATGTTGCATATACCTATACCAGTATATTATCTTCCCATTTCTTTTTTGTGATCCGTTTTATGACTAATTACGCTCTTAAGAACGACCCATTCGCTTTAAATTATCAATAATTAGTATAATGAAGTGTAAACAATATACACACCTTTATGACAAAAGAGAATAGGACAGTGTCTTCCATGCTACTGATGTTCAAATGAAGAATTTCAAAAGAAAGTTTCTCCAACACATTGATTATCTTCACGATTTGCCCTGGGATTCGCCGGGATATCGTTCGTAGGATAACGTTGGATCCTGAAATCTTAGCTTCAACATCTGCAATTGGAGAGTTGCAACAAGACCCAACTTCCTTGAACTGATCAGTGTTAAATGCAAATGGACTGTCTGGTTTAGGACTTAATTGAAAGGGCTTTGGACTAGGTGCAGTGCTAGGGCTTGGACTACTACTCTTTCGTCGTTTTTTTGATTCCAAAGATTGAACAATTTGGTGCAACTCCTTGATGAATTCTATCACACCACCTATAATTGATGCTTGATCCCCCTTCATTTTCAAATTACATAAACACCAAAAATTGATGGTTATTGAAACTAGTTAATCTTCACCGTCAATTTCTCTCTAAACATGTATATACATGTGTCTGATATGCGTAAAAGGGAAATCTTATGTGATCTTCCTAAATTTCCATATGAAAGATGAAAGATACAACAAATTAAGTTGATGATTATAAAAACTAATTACAAGCAAGATAAATTTAGCACCTATTTGGTGTGGATTAAAATTAAATTTTAGTAGATTTTGATAAAAGTTTATAAAATGTGTGGTTGAAAAGTTGTTGATACCGTGAAATATGTCGTTAAAATTAATTGTTAATTTTAACTTAAATTAAAATCGAGATTTTAATTCCTACCAGACAAGGCTTAATGTGCAAACATGCATACACACGTTTCACATAAAAGGAGAGACACGTTTGATACACATATCTCAATCTCCCTTGATTTTCATATCACAATATGAAACAAACACCAAAGTTTGACTATTATAAAAAATGTTTATAATTGGAAAATAAAAGTACTTTGCATACATGCATATAAACATGTCTGATATGCATACGCATGAAACGGAAGACGTACACGTCTTAATCTTCCTTGGTTTCCATATCACAACATGAAACAACTCTAAAGTTAAAGATTTTGCAACTCGCTAAGAGTGAAGATAAATTGAATTTGTAAACGAGCATATCCACACACACACACACACAATTCTTCGAGAGAGAGAGAGAGAGAGAGAGAGAGAGAGAGAGAGAGAGTACTCGTTTGACGTAGAAACATGGAGTTAAGGATCGCAAAACCTTAAGATGTTCATTCATTTGTCTTCTCCTGTTCCTTTCCACAGCTATGTGAGACATGGTTCTTGATGAAAAAGAGAAACAGCATATAAGTTCTATTTGTGTTCTCTCTCTTTATATATAGGCCAGACGCTACAGATTAACTACATATAGAGTTATTTTCTTTATTCGTGGACTAGGGTTTTCATTTAATGCTTTGTGTTACACTCTCGTGAGGTTAATTAGTTTTACTCTTTTACTTGTACTTTCTCTCTCTGGATATCTCTCTCTTTCTCTCTCTATATGTATATCTATTTGGTGAGTATATATTACATCTCACGTTTATGATCTGGGAACAATTACGTCCCCCGCGTACAGATAAAAGAGAGGGTAAGTTCACTTTATGTCATGTACAATACCTGCTCCTTTCGCTGCTCTTCATGCATGCCACGCTCGATTCTTCATCACTCCAATTGAATCTGCATGTGTATTCTAATGACCCCGACTTGAGGTTCCGACCATCCTTGTTACCGTGAGTAGTTCAAGTTCTTACATGATAGTCAAAGATACTCGTTGAGAATACTCAATTTTGGAATTCGATTGCTCCATCGAACTTTAGACCTATCGAATTGCTCATTTAAG